CTAACCCTAACCCTAACCCTAACCCTAACCCTAACCCTTACCCTATGCTTTACCCTAACCCATACCCTAATCCTAACCCGTACACTAACACTAAAGCGTACCCTAACACGTTCCCTAACCCTAACGCGTTGTCTTGCCCTAACCTGTACCCTAAACCGTACCCATTCCCTAACCCTAATCCTAACCCTAGCCCTAACCCTAACCCTAACCCGTTCCCTAAGCCTAAGCCTAAGCCTAAGCCTAACCCTAACCCTTACCCTAAGCCTTCCTCTAAGCCGTACCCTAATTCTAACCCGTACACTAACACTAACCCATACCCTAACATGTACTCTAACCCTAACCCATTGTCGTACCCTAACCTGTACCATGAACCGTACCCGTTCCCTAACCCTAACCCTAACCGTAACCCTAACCCTTACCCTAAGCCTTACCCTAAACCGTACCGTAATCCTAACACGTACACTAACACTAACCCATACCCTAACCCGTACCCTTTCCCGTACCCGTACCCTAACCCTAACCCTAACCCTTGCTTAGCGGGAGCTCAAAGCTCTCTCCTCAGGCACGGCTGAGGTCTCTGGGGGAGGCAGAGCTGTGGTCTAGGAGATGCAGCTGTGGGGTCTTTTCCTCTGCCTGATGACGGATCCCCAAGGTGAGTGTCTCAGGTTCAGGGCCGGTCTATGGGGATGATTGTGGCTTCAGGTGGCTAAGAGGGACTGATTCTCCTTGTTCTCAGGTGTCCTGTCTGATCTGACAGTGCAGAGTCTGGCCCAGGACTGGTGAAACCCTCACAGACCCTGTCCCTCACCTGTGCTGTCTCTGGGGGCTCTGTAACCAGCAGTTACTACTGGAATTGGATCTGCCCACGCCCTGGGGAAGGGTTGGAGTGGATGGGGTACTGGACAGGGAGCACAAGCTACAACCTGCTTTCCAAGGCCGAATCTCCATCACTGATGACACGTCCAAGAACCAGTTCTCCCTGCAGCTGAGTTCTGTGACCACCGAGGACACAGCCGTGTATTACTGTGCAAGAGACAGTGAGAGGAAGTCAGTGTGAGCCCAGACACAAACCTCTCTGCAGGGAGACAGGAGAGGCTGGGCTGTAGGGGGAGCTCAGAGACTAGTCCCAGGAGCCGGTGCAGTGGGTGGCAGGGAAGGTGGTTTCGGTTGGGATTGAGAATTACCTCTCCACGACGTTCAGCTGCCCCAAGGGACATTTCAAGTTTTTTCTGTCTCTGAAGTCTCATATTCTCAGTGCAGCCAACAAATGAGAAAGTTACATTGTCTATTTGCAGATGGGATATCATCAGTCACTAGGGATGTGTCCATCAAGTTCCTATATCTTATTTATTTTTCTTGACAAAGAGAACATCCAGAAGACTCTCAGCTTCCCTGTGATTCGAAAACATTTCCACAAAGGGAGGTACCAGCACATTTCATCAACTCTGTGTCCAAACCCAACTTCGACCCCCTCACGCACAGGTGGCCCACATACAGGACCTCCTGTCAGACAGGCACATATGATCCTCAGGGGGTTATGATCAGTGCACCCCCAGGACCTCTGTCCACAGGGTCTCTCTCCCCCCAGGATATGTAACCTCCTGCTTCTGATTTACTGGGGTGGATGTTGAACCCACCCCAACATAACGCTCTGCCTTCTACCTTTTAAATTCTCCCTCTACCTGTCCTAGACCCTGAGCACCGTGGGGTTAGGGTTAGGGTTAGGGTTAGGGTAGGGTTAGGGTCAGGGTTAGGGTTAGGGTTACGGTTAGGGTTAGGGTTAATAAAAAGCACACAAGAGCTCAGAAAACCAAGTAGTGTTTCCCTCTGTGAGGGGAATTTATGAGGTAAATCTCCATTTGAAATGGTGTCTCCCTCTCTGTACCAGGAATAGGGTAACTGAAGCTCAAGAAACTTTTACCTATGGAGAAGGCCTGGACTTAAATCTACATAACAAACATACCCTTGTTTACTATGCACTGCCTGATGACCTCCTTTAACTGGCTTCCCCCCTCTCCCAACACCTTTTGTTTTTTAACTGAAGATGGTATATAAGGGAGATTAGGTCATTTCCTGAGTTAGTTTTCCTGGTGTTGACCTGAAACAAACAGCCAGATATTTCTCCAGCAAATATGGGTTTATTCTCAGGATCGGGAGAAAATCACAACTTGGAGGTCTGCAACCACAGCAAGGCACATGAGCATCCCCATGAGTCAAGGGAAGGAAGAGGACCCTGGACAGGCTATAGCAAACAGTACACAACTTTTTATTGGCTGAGTCCTTGAGTCCTGGCTCAGTCCTTTCCTGAGGCCAGGAAATGACAGTCTTTCTTCTCACTGTGGGTCTCCGCAATTGCGGTAACGCATGAGAGCTCTCCGTTCTGGTCTCCCCGTCCTATTTAATTGAGGTTTCTGCTTATTAATTTATACAAGACTAACCCCCAACTCTTAGCCCTTGGCCCAATCCCTAAACCCAAACCTAACTCCTAACCCTTAACTCTAGGCCCTAACCCCTAAGCTTATCCCTTCCCCACCATCCTAAACCCTCTCCCTAACTGCACCCTTCACGCCACCCTCCGTCCCTTTCCTGGATCAACTGGGCGAATGACATTTCTGAATCTTTCAGCATCTCCACCCTGCCTCTCCCCGCCACCCTACAGCCCCGCCTCCAGGGCTCAGGAGGCGACTGGGGTCATCCGCCCCTAGGTGAGCGGATATGTGCTCCCAGACCTAGAGCGTTCAACAGCGTCTGCAGGACGTGCCCAGGCCGTCAGGAAGTCAGAGAGCCCGCGCTCCGCTGCACTTAGCTCACCTAAACGCCCTCCAAGACCTCCACGTGACCCCCGGGGACTCAACCGGCTTCGCGCCCCTGCCCCAGCAACCAATCGTAAGTCAGGGACAACGAAGCCGGCCCACGCCACGCCTCCCCATGGCCCCGCCCCCTCTCCACTGCCGTCCAATTGCTTCTGGCCGGCCGTCCTCCGCGCTTCCACGCCGACTTCCGCTGTCGGCGGCGGGGAGGCAGTTCGAGGGCCCTGATTCCTGCACCCATGGCATCCGGGAGCGTCGGGCTGGCTGAGCTGGGTTTTGTGGAGGCGGCGCCGGCGTGGCGGCTGCGCAGCGAGCAGTTCCCCAGTAAGGTGGGCGGCCGGCCGGCGTGGCTCGGCGCAGCCGGGCTGCCGGGGCCCGCGGGGCTGGCCTGCGCGCTGTGCGGCCGCCCACTGGCCTTCCTGCTGCAGTTGTACGCGCCGCTTCCGGGCCGCGCCGACGCCTTCCACCGCGGTCTCTTCCTTTTCTGCTGCCGAACGCCACCGTGCTGCGCCGGCCTACGCGGTGAGCGGCCCGGGGCCCGGGTAGAGCGTGCGCGGTGAGCGGCCTGCGGCCCCGGTCGCGCGTGCGCTGCCTTGCTCGTGGTCAGGGCCCAGGGACCGTGCAGCCTCCTCTGCGACCCCGCCGCGGGCCTCTCCCCTGTACCCCGCGAGCGTTTCCGGGGGTGGGGGTGAGTTCCAAGGGCTCGCGCCTTCTTCGACCCCAGCTTTTTGTTAATCAGTCGGTAGTGGGTGTTCAGATAATAGAACCTGTAATTTTTCGGAAACCTGGGTTTCAACACGTTGCTCATATGTATGTAGTCTGACTTAATGTTACTTTTGTTACTAATTTGAACAAGCTCAAAGAGCCTACTTAGTTGTATGGACTTTAAAAAGTTTCTCGTTTTCACTCTTATTTTTTCTTCCTTTCCAGCAAATAAGCTTTTTGAAAGCAAAAACTTTCTATTTTTCTTTTTAAAAAATGACTGTTTTTTCAGTCCTGTGTGGAGTGAAGGCTCAAATATTTGAATTGCTATGTTGTTTTATTTAAAACATGTGTAACGTTTCTCCTTCTCTCTCCTTAGTTTTTAGAAATCAGTTGCCTAGGAGAAATGACTTCTATGCCTATGAGCCACCTTCTGAGGATCCTCCGCCAGAGACAGGAGAATCCGTGTGCCTCCAGCTCGAGTCCGGTGCTCATCTGTGCAGAGTTTGTGGCTGTTTAGGCCCCAAAACATGCTCCCGATGTCACAAGGCACATTACTGCAGCAAGGAGCATCAGACTCTGGACTGGAGATTGGGACATAAGCAGGCTTGTACACAAGAAGGTCAGTCAATTCTGTTTTTATTTTTAAATCTGAGCTCAGTTTCATAGTGTCTGTCAGGCCAAATCTTTCATTTTGAGGATAAACGTTAACATTACAAAAGGTGTAATACTTTTTAAAGCTTTGATTAACTAGTGACATAAACACCTTTATGAAGAAGGAACTGTGAGGTCTTGCCCACTCACGTCCCAGCCTAGCTTTAGTATAGTCATTTAATTTATGAGCCATAATCTAAAATGCTGGAGCTACATATGTTAATTACTAGGGAAAACTGTTTTGACATGGAATACACTTCAGATATAGGAAATTATTTGACCTTCCAAACTAAATGATTACTAATGATGCTAGTTACCTTACTTTGTTTCAGGTGATTTGGACAGTACAGTTCCAGACCACAGCTTCCTTTTTCCAGAATTTGAAATTGTAATAGAAACAGAAGATGAGATTATGCCTGAAGTTGTGGGAAAAGATGATGAATCAGAGATTATAGGTAGCATGGGTAAGGAATCAGTTTCAAAACTCATTCATTAAATATACACTACTATGTATAAAATAGATAACTAATGAGAACCTACTGTATAGCATAGGGAACTCTACTCAGTGCTCTGTGGTGAACTAAATAGGAAGGAAATCTATAAAAGGGGAGGGGATATATGTATAAGAAAAAAAAGGAAAAAGGTGGGGAGAAGAATAGTGGATCTAGTTGAAGCAGAGAGAAAGTAGAGGGTCAAGTGTCCCAACATTCCAGCCTCAAGGGACATGTTGTCACCCATTTCAGGGGACACTGACGGCCTGCCATGGAGACCTAGGGATTAGAGAACCAGTTTGGAGACACCCGTCTTAGATCATTGCTAAGACAAAAAACGTTTTTCTGTTTAACTAACATATGAGAAGATTCAGTGCCAGATGTTTAAAAGCACCTAGGGAAAGGGATGCTATGTTTGTTGGTGGGTAGTAGTGTTAGAGAGTGTGCTTTGGGGAAGAATTCACTGATGAAGGAGTCTGATAGAAAATTTCCAATAACAGGTGGGAGAGAACTCCCTGTATTGAGTGTCCAGTGAAATGAAACCATGCTGTATCTAAACTGGACAGTGCATGCCATTGATCCACACTGTCTCTACTCCCTCAGACATGGGGCCAATAAAGTAATAAGCAATAGAAATGTTAAAAAAAAAAAGAATAAAAAAACTCTTTCATTAAGTGATTAAATATAATGCTTGAAAGGAAGGGCTCAAGATGCCAAGAAGAGAAGCACTGATAGGAAAAGGCAACTCACTTGGGAGGCTGCAACCTATACTTTTCAAATATTGCCTCATTTGAAGATATCCTTTCTGTACTTCCCTCCTTGGCATATACAGGAGCGTTCTGGTTCCTGTAAAGGTGTCAGAGGAAGTATCCGGGTGGTCAGCTGGGTGGGGCTGCACAGGATGCTGGAAACTTGGGAAGTTTATCTGGCTCCAGGATTTGTTTCTCTGATTGAGATGGTGGACATGAGAGTGCCTAGCAGTGTTTGGTGGGCAGCAGGGGGCCCTCTTATCTGGCAAGTTTCAGATACTTGATTTCATCAGTTACCTCAAGGTTATCATACTCTGGAGCAGTGCCTGTGCTGAGACTGAGCCGTAGCCAAAATTTATCCAACACTTACTCTGTACCACGGGCCTTTTGTGCATGATCTTACTAAAGTCTTGACATCAGAACAATATGTTAGAAACTCTGCCCCATTTTGCAGTGAGGAATTTGAGGTTCTGGGTATAACTTGCTTGGTCGTATAACTGACTAAAGTTGTTAAGTTCTAGAACTGAAGTTTGAGCTCACGTCTTACTGACTCCAAAACTTGAGCTCAAAATTTAGATTTCAGAATCTAAATTAAATTTTGGATTAGAATGTCAGCTTACTGGCTTACAGTTCACTTTCAGGGTATCAGAAATATCTTCTGAGTTACAAAGACTCGATCCTGTTGGGGATGGCGGTGTTTCAGGTAGCTGAGATTCCAGAGGTGAGTGTGAAGGAGTGAGCTGGTAGGGTTAGGGCATGTGATGACTGAATGAGTGTAAGGGAAAGGAGAGATGAAACATGAAGAGATTGGAAGTAAGAGTCCAGATGGGTGAAGGACACTAGTGATAAGCAGGGCTCATATTTTTTGGGTGCCCTTTTGTGTGCTGGGCACAGCAGTCCTCAGACTGGGACTTGGGGTCTGTTCTTTTAATTTGGAGTTTTAAAGAGAAGCTCTTACTAGGAGCCGGCATAGTAATAATGCTTCATGGAGTACCTGCAAAGTCAGATGGTCTTAAAGCACAAACATTAATGAATTAAAATAGGAAAGCCTGTGGAAACATCTGGCCTTCACTGTCGGATTTAACACTAAGTTGGTTGTTTAAAACTGGCTTCCCTCAGCATGTGTTTATTGTCCAGACATGGAGATTATTCCTGTTGCATAATAGTTATGTTGATAATTTTTTAGGTGAAGCACCTGAGGAAGAACTGGATTCCATGGCAAAACATGAATCTAGGGAAGATAGAATTTTCCAGAAGTTTAAAACCAAAATATCCTTTGAACCAGAACAGGTAAAATAGAATTCATATACAGCTCCTTCTGTTCTTTTCAGGTGGTGGTTTAGGGGTATCCATCGCTGGGGGCCCAGGTTTGATCCCTGGTTGGGGAACTAAGAAACCAACCTGCAACTTTAGCACAAAGACCACTGTGGTTTTGTGAAAAGAATAATGGGTTTTGCTGTTATGAAGAATTCTGGCTTCTTGAATTACATATTGACCTTCTGATGTAATTGTATCTACAGTGTGGGGGAAAAAAAAAGTGGTTTTGAGGATTAAGGTAGATTGTAGACTCACAGTAAGTATTCAGCAAATGTTTCCCTTTGCCTCTTTTCTTCCATTAACTTTATTCCCCTTAACTTCCCTTACCATAAACATAAATCACTAAAGAAGACAGCTAAATTCCCATAAGTCAGTCGCTAGAGCAAATAAACATCCAGGAGCTTATAGGAAGAGTAGGTCTAGGTCCTAAATACTGAGAAGGTAGTTTTTAGCAACGCATATGCTTTTAACAAGAAATATCGAGTAAAGTCACTCATTTGTTATATAAGATGTTATAACAAAATTTACTTCTGTTTTATTTAAACACTGTGGCTCACTTGGTATTTGTTCCTTTAAAAATTGTTAACTAAGTTTCCTTATATCTGTGTGAAGGTAAGCACAGACCCTGGGCTGCATGTTAGGTTGACAACCTGGTGATGGGGAAATAGGATTATTGTTAGTCTCTTCACAAAATAGTCATAGGATTCAGATTCTAACCATATTGACATCTAAGAAAAATAATTTGGATATCCTGAATCAGATAAGCTGAAACAGTCCCTTTGATCAGGGGCCCCAAACCTTGGGCCAAGGACCGGTACCGTGAAGCTTCAGCTGCCACTCCCCATCGCTCGCATTCACGCCAGAACCACCCCCTTCCCCCTCCCTGTCCGTGCAAAAATTGTCTTCCACGAGACAAAACCAGTCCCTGGTGCCAAAAAGGTTGGGCACCGCTGCCTTTGATGACACAGAACGGTCTTAATTGTGCCCAGTGGAGGGGCGCAGGGGGACAGACAGTAAAGTGGTTTTCAGATGAGCGTTTCATCAATCGTAAGAGTACGTACAAAGCTTCTCTAGATGATCCTCAGATCACATGAGATGTTGGTGATTTAAACTGATCCTTATTGATTTTAGATTCTCAGATACGGCAGAGGGATTGCCCCCATCTGGATCTCTGGTGAAAATATCCCTCAAGAAAAGGATATTCCAGATTGCCCCTGTGGTGCCAAGAGAATATTTGAATTCCAGGTATGACCTTAAATAAGTACTATTTTAGTACTTATTTTAGTACTAAATCTTATTTAGTACTATTTTAGTACTGATTTATAATTTTAAGCATTAAAAAACTTTGCCAAAGTAACATATGTATATGGGTCCCTATGGTGTTATGGAAGGTTCCCTATAATGAAAATCAGTAGTTTCCTACCCCACCTTAGGGCTTGTTACAAGGAGGGAATTATCTTTTACTGGTTATCTGGTAGTTATTTCTATCTTTAAATAGCATGCTTTTTCTGAGATTTATCAGTTTACTAGTTTTTTAGACATCTGTTGACTGACTTCTGCAGTAGTGAGGATTTAAATGTAGTCACTCACACCATCTAGACCATCGCCCACTTCCCAGTGTGGTTAGGGTCAATATTATTTTAGTGCCTCTATTGTTACCTTTATAATTTAAAATAATATACCTTTTTTACAATATTTGACTCTCCTTTGTGAGAGTGTTTCAGAACGCTTACTCTGTTTAGTCTTGGTTTGTAGATTTGTTAGGAGAACAAATTAATGTAATCATTAAGGTAAACCCCCCCCCCCCCCCCGCCCCCGCAAGAAGTTGTTAGCATCAAAATCCGTTTGGGTTGGGCGGAAATGCTCCTGAATTGTGGATTCACTAATCTTATAAAGTGATATTTGTTTCTTAGGATAAAAAAAGGATTTTTGTGGACTGATCCAAAACTAATTGGTTCTTACTGCCAGAGCTCTGACTGACGCCCAAGATGAGCTGACGGTGGTTATATAAAGCAATTTGATAACAGTAGTGGCAGTGCTGGCTCTTACTCTTTCCCATGAGACCACTGACTCCTAAGACCCATTTCTAGTCTATACAAATACATCAATAGATTTCCTTTTTGTATTCTACTAGGTTAGTGTTTCTTCAGAGTCATAGGAACAGCATCTGCTATTCAGGTTGTAAATAACCCAAAATAAGAGTTGCCCAAAGAGAAGCCTCATCCCTATTTTGTGGCATATTATTAATAAAAAAATAATTAGGTTAACAGCCAGGTCAAATAGATCAGCTGATCTTATTATACTTAGGAACTTCTTTCTTAAACGAAAAAGACAGACACCAAATAGAGAGGGACTTTAAAGAAACATAGTTGCAAAGTATTTTTAGATTGTTAAGTATGTTAACACCATTAATGTCTGTAATCTTGCTGTGGAGATGGAGAGACCAGGATCCCCAGGAAGGTCTGGTCTGTTGAAAGCAGACTGTGCTCATCACCGCCAAGGAGCGCTCTGACTGTGCCATCCTTTTCCCAGGTCATGCCTCATCTGCTCAACTACCTGAAGGCCGACAGACTGGGCAGGAGTGTCGACTGGGGCATCCTGGCCGTCTTCACCTGTGCTGAAAGCTGTGGCCTGGGCACTGGCTACACAGAGGAATTTGTTTGGAAGCAAGATATAACAGATACCGCCTAAAGACAACTGTGTGAAGCCTCAAAATATTCATCATCTCTTAGACCTTCCAATTCCATTTCTAGGACTTTATCCTAAGGAAATAATTATACCAGAGATACACAAAGATGTTGTTTTAGGTGTTGTGTATCTGTCCAGCAGGAGGCTACACAGTCTTAATGATACAGACTTATATGCACATCAAGTAAGATAAAGATGCCAAGGTACCATTGTAGATGGTATTCATAGTATGCTATTTTTGTAAAAATATTTATACACATGTATGTACACCAAAAATATCTGGAATGAAATGCACTAGGTGTGAACTGGTTAACTGAACAGTGGGACTAAGTGACATGATCTTTTTACTTATATGTATATTTCTTTCTATAATAAAAATGGGTTATGTGCCTAATTAAGTCAAACCATCACTCAGAGCATTTCTCCCCTAAAATTTGCAAAGTTAAAACAAGGAGAAAAATATTTGGGTAAAACCCCAGGAGACTTCCTGAGTTCAAAGAGAAGCTCTACTTCAAAACTGACTTTGGTCAGCCAGTGGCACTGCTTATAGACCAGAGACTGAAAGGTCTTCTCTTTCCATCTCCCCATCTCACAGCACTGTCCACATGGCAAGTAAACCCAAATAAGGACAGGGAATCAGCCACTGGAATTTCCCTGGGTCAGCCTGAGGGAAGGCTCTGAGGTAGTTTTCAAGTGAGGGATATTGTTTCCGATGCCTCTGTTTACACAAGCAGTTCCTAAATCAATGCCATCAACCATGCTAAGGCTCCCTCCAGCCCCAGGTGATTTATACTTGTGATAATTCCCAATTCTCTTAGTGCTGGGCAGGCTTCACTGCTGCTAAGGCAAACTTAGAGACATTGCTGTTGATCACTGCGTGAAGACCAGCAGCTAGTTCTGGTAACATCCCTGCTAACCCTGAAATGCACTGCCACCATAAACACATCTTTTTGGAGGTAATATCACTTGCTAATATCACTGACTTGGCTATTTCACTATAGTTTTTTATTAGGAAATCCTGGCCTTTTAGTCCATATCACGTGTGTGTGGATATGTATGTAATTTATATAAAGATAAATAAAATACTGGACTAGTGGGGCCTTCATAGCCCAAACTATAAATCAGAAGTTTGCCCCAGTAGGACAGCATCCTGACTGCGAAGGACTTTTTAAGCAAATTGTTTAGGGTCTGTCTATTTGGAGAGATCCCCAGATTATGTAGACATTCTTGCAGGCATGTTGGTAACCCACCAAGCTATCCTTTAGGTGTGTATCCCTGCCAAGGTCTGGAGATGACAGCAAGTTCACCGGGCATTTCCATTTGGAGACAGACTTCCAGCACTGACTTGGCAACCATGTCCAAAAAAAGCAACTAGTTGAAAATAACTAAAACAAAAATAAGAAAATTTAGATAAATAAAAAAAGCAACTCAGTTGCCTCTAGATATGTCAAGACGTTTAAAAACCTTCATGCCAAACATGAAATGACCGACACATCTCACCCAGCAGCTGCTCCTGCGGAGGACATCAATCACTACTGCCAACCCATGCATGCTGTCCCCCAAACCTCTGCTTGGCCCAGATACTGCCTGACCAGGCAGCTCACCCTACTGTAGAGAGCAGTGCATTCACCTGTCCTTTTCTGATACACTGAATGCGGGTCTCATCATCCTTTGACAATTCAGAGATCACAGCAAAGAAAAAATGTTTCAGTGCTTTTGATATTCATATTAGTGGTAGTGTTCTGTTATTCTAACAACTCATCATCCCACGTGTCTTTAAAATTTAAGGGTTCTCAGCGTAAAATAATACAGAACTGATCAAATAAAAACCCTGTAGTCTGAATCTGGATTGGATATATTAGTACGAACTCATGAGGTATTTTATCTTGAAAACTTTTAAAGGGAAAGAAGCAAGCATTTATCCTGCTATGTGAAAGAAGTATATAACTATATAAAAAAGTATTCTAACAAATCATGAAAAAAATAATTAGAATTTTATCTTTTGCAACCCACTAATGAATTAGTGGATCAATCAGAAGACGCCAATCAGACATTAAATCCCTAACAAACACTACTTACAGTCTTTACAAAGGGATCAAGCCTTTAGATGCAGTCACCCACCGGCAGGAAATGCAGAGAACAGAGGGACATGCTGGCTGCACCATCCTGAGTTTGCAAATAGCAAGACAGACTGTAAGAAACTACTAGCCAAACAGCCTATAAATTTCCTTAAATGAGATGGCAGGGGAACTTAAGGAATAAAGCAGACATAAAAACATCAATTTATTAAAATGGAAGACTAACCTATATTGGTGTTTAGGTAATTACTGTAAAAGGATAATAATGGTTATTTGGGTGGGTGGTGTGGCTGGACTGGTGCATAAGGAGTAAGAAGAATTCAGTAAAGTGACTGGAAATAAATCTATCAGCAATAATTTTAAAGTCTTATGAAAAATGCCATTAATAACAAACTAAAATACTTAGGAATTAACTTTTATGTAATGTAAAGCCCTATATGAAAAAAATTACGAAACTTTACTGAAGAACCTAAAGGAAGACTCACACGTGGGGAAACAATTCTTTCTTGAATAGAAGGAGATTATACTGGACTGATGTCTTTCCAATTCATCCATACATTACTGACATCACTGATGACTGGAAAATGCAAGAAAAGGGCACCTCATACACCATGTTCTCTCTGGACTGTAACCTGGTATGGATCTATCAAAACCTAGAATGTATAAATGCTCTTAATACAGTGACTCCTCTTCTAGGCATGTTACTACAAAGATACCTGTACTTATCCACAAATACACATAAAAGGATGTTCCCTGCAGCACCTGTTTATAATAGTAAAACACTACAGGTAACGTAAATGACCATAATTACGGAAATGGTTAAATATATAAACTTGTGTAACCATCAGATTACACCATCAGATTACATCATGTGGCACCATCAGATTCCATTTCATGGCAGTATGTTTGTCATGGAAAAATGTGTATGATATAGTGACTAAAAAAAGGAAGCTATAGGGGCTTCCCTGGTGGCGCAGTGGTTGGGGGTCCGCCTGCTGATGCAGGGAACACGGGTTCGTGCCCCGGTCCGGGAAGATGCCACATGCTGCGGAGCGGCTGGGCCCGTGAGCCATGGCCGCTGAGCCTGCACGTCCGGAGCCTGTGCTCCGCAACGGGAGAGGCCACAACAGGGAGAGGCCCGCGTACCGCAAAAAAAAAAAAAAAAAAAGGAAGCTATAAAATCAAACATATGCTTTACTATTTTTTCAATATGATAACAAAAGCACCCCCAAAAGAAAAAAACCTGAACAGAAGAGGGCTGGGGAGGTACCCACCAATCTGGTAGTTAACCTGGGGAAACAGACAGAAGGGAGAGGAAGGAAGAAACTTTCTGGTTTCTGAAAAAATATTTTTACAATTAAAAAGAAAAACACACACCCGAACAACGAACCCCAAGAACTTACACGTGCTCACCTGATATTCATGAGAAAAACACACCTCACCAGTCAGTGGACGACCCCAGCTCTAACACTGAAGGCCTTTGGCTTAGAGCCCGTGTTTGCCACTTAACGGGCTCTGTAACCTTGGGCAGACCCTCAGCTGGGGCCTACCTTACCCTACTTGTGAAAGAGGAACAAAACCTAGCTACAGCTTTTGTGAGAAGGCAACATATCTGGGAAACGGGAGGTGCTCAACGTATGGGACGTAATAAACATGTATTTGAGCAACTTAAAATTTTCAGACAATTCTTCCATTTTCACTGCAACATACAATGAAATGTTGATTGAAACAAACAACAAGCAAGCAAGCAAGCAAACACACTGAAATGGTTCCAGGCATTATATCTAAAATACGACTTTTTAAACAGTATGATCACATGAATCTTACAAAGTTTCATTTATAACATCAATCTAACACTTTTATAAACAGCATTTATTGTACAGAGTACTCTGAAGGAAGAAAAATATGTACAGCCATTTGTTTTCATTAATACATTTCTATCCTGTCCTGCAATACTGGAAAGGCGGAATGTGGCACAAAAATAACCCATAGGAGTTACAAATTAGAAAACAACACTTTTTAAAAAGATTTTTACTTTTCTGGTAGAAATATAAAAACTGTGGTTTATGGGGAAGAAATTAAACAAAATAAAGTCCAATCGATTGTTGAGGTGGCTTTAACACTTAAAGTTTTGTCCCTTAAACCAACTTGTCAACAGCAGTAAGTGTTTAAAATCTAAATATAAATAAACGGGCAGCGCTGCCCAAATAGCAGCACAGTTCGAGCAACTTACAGTAACACTTCGGTGTTCTCTGTGCAGAAATAACGCCCCCTTCCTGGCATCCCTATGGGGTACACATGCAGGGGAGCTTCACCTCGTGCTGCAACCTACAACCAGACATCCATCCTCTCATCACATGGGGCCGTCCACAACACCACTAAATGTACCAGAACTGATTTGTTTTAAAAAAAACAAGTGGGTGGGGGAGGCAGGAGTACATGACAGCCATTACGTTGTCTTCCTGAACCCCTTTAGAATAGGGTAGATGTTCTCAAAGGCTTCATAAATTTCTGCTCTGACTTTAGCACCTATGAAGACAATTTGGAGTAGAGAAGAGTGTGAAACGGCATTTCTTAACATAAAACCACAAGCACAATTCTCTCCACACCTAGTAAGACAGATGCATTAAAACATTAACGATGGACCCTTGTCATAATCGTATTTCTGTTTTTAAGGTGGTATTTTTTTAAGTTGGCTTTTTAAAAAAATTACAAAAGCAGCGCCCCAGGTGACTCCAGCCTCCTTCCCCACAGTCTGCCCATGTGACTGGTGTTGGTCTCTGGACTGTGTCAGAACCCAGCAGGGCAGCAGTGAGAGTGGCTGAATCTTATTCTCCCAATCGCTGTCTTCAAACAAGCTCTTTTGAATCTTCCTTTGTTGTCACAAAATGATAATGGTGATGAACCCCAAAGTTTTAGACAATGGTACCCAACTTAAAACGCCATCTGTTATGCTGTAATGCCCACCTCCCCCTTCCCCACCAAGGTCATGCTTCAGCTGAAGAACCAGCAGGGCTGTGCTCTGACTTCCCTCGGCTCACTCCCTCTGGTGGGTGTGTTCCCCATCAGAGTGTTAGGGTCAGGGGAAGACAAAAAAGGGGCAAAGCTTCTTTACAAGTCACTAGTCAACTGTCCCGACACTGTGATATTACTTCTTAGCACTGAGAAAATGCCATTCTTCACACTTTCCAAACTTCGAACACTACTTCCTGTTGCAACTTACCTGTTAATACAACTTTTCCAGAAACAAAAATAAGGAGAACAATTCTCGGTTTGATCATTCTGTAGATTAAACCAGGAAATAACTCTGGCTCATAACTAGAAGG